TGCTTGCTCTTCAGACAGGAATGGAGCTTTTTTTTTTTTTTTTTGCACGAATACCTCATGTGGTGCTTTTCTAGCGTTGCGATTGGCATTGCAGGTTTTCGCCGGAAATCGCGTCGGGTCGTCATTGCTGAGCGTAATGCAATTTTAGTTGGGACGTTGGAGGCTGACCCCTGGAAATGTCACACATTGACATTTTCTGCTCGGCCGGTAATTGTTGTCATATCGACTGCTCAGAGTCGGGAGGTTCAAGCGAGCGAGCGACGCCCTCTCGGTCGCCGACGCGCTCGAGGGGTACGGGTGCCCGCAAACGCGCTCGGGGCTTGGCTTCAAACTACTTTCGCACGAGCGGCTGAAGGCGGAGGAGACTCTTGCTGAAAATGGGGCTTTTGTCTCGCGTTCTGGGTGATGGTAAACCACGGAGGTTTTGTTGTTGTTGTTGTTTTGTTGGCGTCTGCATTCAGCATTTCTCCCAAGGACAATTTGACAGGACACGGTGCGGTTGATGTCCGCCGCCGAGATGGAAAGTGTAACCTTCCGGTAATAGGACGCTCCCGCCGGCTCCCAATCTACTCAACCATCGCGCGGGGGCGGCGGAAGGGGGCAGAAAGATGAATTGATGGCGGGATATTAGAATGCGGCTCGACAGAAAGCACGGCGAGGACAGACCGAGATGCCTTCAAGGATGATAATGGAAGCGCGCGGTCTGAGCGATGACCAGGAGTCGCCAAGAAGACAAGCAAGGAAAGCCCGAGAGGAAAATGGCATTCGCTGACTCATTGGGAGGGACGAGGGGCAAATGAGGAGGACAAACAGGCTGCAGCTGTCCCGCTGACTTCCCTTTCGCAAGAGATCCAATGCAACGTATAAGACGCCACGCGGGGTATTGAAGAGAAAAAACTCGTACCGAACCGACAGTAAAGTCGGCTGTCACTTCCGCCTTCGGTCGGCGCGGTCGCCGCTTCCTTGTGACGTGTGTTCAAAGCAGCAAGGCTTCCCCTTGTAAAGAAGCCAAGGCCAGATTCCCTCTGCGAGACGCGACACTTGCCCCATTCGGGTTCATTGGGGATCGTGCCCATCAAAATCTTCATTTGAGCAAATCAACACCTCAGTAGAAAGTCTTAAACCGGATTTGCGAGGGAGGAGGGGGATAAAATCGGCCATTCCCCCCCCCAAAGGCAGCCGAGCACTGAGGTTTCCACACTCCAGTTCTTACGGTTTTTTTTTTTGTTTTTTTTAAACAAGAAAAATGGAACCAATGAATTCCGTCTCTCTATCTTTGCGTCACTGGCTTTAGCTTAAAAAAAAAAAGGCTTGATTTCTTTTGTTGCCATGTTCATTTGTTCTGTCTTCCGTTGGCGCTGCTGGACAAGATTCCGGTTGATGAAGTGTGACCGGGGACATGAGCGGAATTAAAGCGACAATCTCATCAGCGCGTATGAGTCAAGTCGCACATCATCCCAGGCGGTGTGACGAGGCGGTTCAATGTCATTTCGCTGTCAGCCGCCGCAGCCCGCAGGTGCCCTAAGTGGCAAATGTCAAAGAAAACCACCCAAAGAGTCTGGCAATTGCGTTGGCGCCGGCGGGGAGACGACGACGCCCGGGCCGTCTGCGGCCGGTGGCAGAAAGCGAGCCCAGAATACGATTGACATTGTTGTTCTTTGCTTTTGCTTGTTTTGCTTTTTTGTTGTCGGAAAAGGGCGCTAAGGCAAGGGGGCTTCCAGTGGGCGAGAGAGGCCGAACTCCGCGGCGTCGACGGTCCCGTTTTTCCTCTTTTGCCCAACCTTCTCCGACTCATCTGTCATCGCACGTTCCAGTTGTCTTTTCTTGATCTCCATCCATTTTTGTCTGCTTAGTGCTTGTCGTTTTGGAGCATTTTTTTCTCCTCTCTTGTCTTGTTTTCCGGCCTACGGGGAAATCAAAGGCGGCGAATAACTTTCAGATCATCAGTCAATAACAAAAGCGGTCGCCCAAGGGAGAGCGCGTTCTTCCTGCCAGGAAAGGCTTCGCCTGTCTCTTTGCCAGTGAAATCTCTCTTTGGCTTGAAAGTCAACGTATAGGAGGGAGGATTATTTTTGGGGGGGACGCGTTGAATGAGCGGCGGTCTCGCGAAACGGGCAGAGCGGCAAGAAATTGGCAGACGGACGCGTACTGTTCCCAGACGCCCGCTGGTAAAAGGCGGGGAGGGGCCAAAACAACCGGCGCTTTGCGGTCATGACGTTTGCGTCGCGCTGCGCAGCGGAGGCGAGTGGGGAGGTCCGATCATATTGCGCAAGTAGGTGCCTGGGTGGCAACTTTGCGTGAGCTTCAGACGCATTTCGACACATTTCAACTCGGCCGCGGCTCTTACCGAGACGCCGCTCGAGCGAGTGACCGACTGACGTTTGTCACTCCTTTGCCCTCGCGGCCTTGACGATGACGCTGGGGTGTCATCGCGGTTTCCATTTCCTGCCTCGCTTTGTGCGAACGTGCGCGAAAGTCAAACTTGTCAGCGCCGATATCCCAAGCGCAATTGTTGTCGGCTGTTTTGGAACGGAGCTGGCCGCTTCGGATGTTGAAGGCGGTCCGACGGTTGAGTCTTGCGGATGCTGAGGGGGCGGGGGAATGAAAGTGGCGCTTGTTTGCATCGCTCGCTGAAATTGAGGCAGACGCAACTCGATGGTCGTTGAGATGATTGGCTTCCGGTCGCCGACCTTTGTCAAAATGACGTTTCACGCATGAACTTTGATTATTTTGACACTTCTACGACAGGTGAGATGTTACAAAATGGAATATTTATGAGGAAACTCTTGATGAGACGGTCCCGGCCAAATTCTTTTTTGGATGCCGTATCCCTTTTGATTGGCTGTGCTACTTTCTGGTAAAGGTAACCCAACGGACCGTACCGTTTATATTCGGCAGAGGGTGTGCCGGTTAAAAAGGAAAAAAAATCCATTAGTCAGGTGAACAATTCGATCCCCCCCCCAAAAAAAACTGTTAAAGTATTTCCCAATTCATAACCTCGTAGGTAGTTTTGAATGAGTTCCAATCCTGGGATTGACTCTCCTCTTTGAATTTGCGCAGGTCTGTCGGAATGGTCTGAATTATTGATGCACCTCCGGGACTGCTAATGCGCAACCGCGCACCCACTTAATAATTAAAGCCTCATATTGATTGCGGCAGGACAACCAAGCGCCTCCAAGCTTTTCACCCACTTCCTCAACAAATGCGCACGCACTAAATGCAACGCGCACGCTTGCCTTGCTGCCGTTAGTTTTCGGCGATGCCGCTTTCCATGAAATGTTTCCCCCTTAAAGTTAGGCGGCTAACTGATATCAATGGCTCGCTGAATTATTCAGGAGATATTAACGTCACACAAATGTATTTTTGAAGCCCGTTTTAGGAACAAGCTTGCCGCAAAAAAAAAAAAAGCGAAACAAAGACATGAGGAGGAGGATGCAAGCCTCCAGATTGGAGCGAACGACAGCGGAAAAGAGATGTGAAGATTCCGTTGGTCGGTTTGAGGTCTCCCTCTGATGTTTTATTGAACAAACAAAAAAGAAAAAGAAAGAGCTGTCACAAAATGCGTCCCGCAAAATCAGAGGGAGGATGTCATTTGAACCAGCAGCCAGTAAACGTGTTGCACATTGAGGATTTGGAGGCAACGGTGGCAGGCACCCAAAATCCGTGGACGGGGGTTGTCTTGAAGTACAAAATTGCTTTGGCTTGGAGAATAATGGAAGCGGCTGATGAAATTTTGGAATGCGTAAAGCGCCTCGGCCCAAATCCAGACCGAGATGTTGTTGTTTCCCGTTTGCAATACAATTGAGCGAGGGACTTTATCCAGTTGCCGCACGCGGCCGGCGCAGAAATATTGGCAAGATTAGTCGCCGTGGTTGCAGAGGAGCCATTTGTCAGGAAGAAACTTGTTCCCTAACATTAACATTGATCTGTCACGCTGTTGCGGTAATTGGAGTAGTAGTCAAATAAAATGACCGTGTCCATCAAATGTAACTTTGTCAAATTGTTTGGCATTTGTTCCTGGAGACATTCCGTGGGAAAAATCAATCCGTGGAAGGATGATGCCATATGGCCGTATGAGCTCCAAACGCCAATGAGTTTGAAGCTGCGCGTCAGATCACAGAAAGAGACAAAATGAACCGCGGCTGATGCCTTTTGTTTTGTTTTTTTTTAAGGTGAAGAGCACAGCTTGCGCGTGTCTTGTTTCTGTCCATTTCAATTAGAAGCGCTCTCATCAAAGGCAGCTGTGCCGTTTGCAGCACACGCGCATGCAAAAGCAACCCGGACTCCAGAGCGTCCTCCCCAAACGGGTAGCGTGGGGGGGGTGCATCGGGCCCCACGGGGACGACGGGAACGCTCCCATGGGTGCAAGCAAAGCAAGAAGATGGGCACAATGTGGAATGGAATTTCATTAGCTGTGCTGGGAAGAAGGCTGAACATTTTGGATGGACTTAACGGTAGTTTTGTTTTGATTTCGCTTTGACTTTTGTTGATAGAAATCATTTTTATTTGTTATTAGAGAAAAGTATTTAGTTGTTTTTCTTTTACTATTTCGTGTAGTTTTTGTTCATTTGGGATTTTACATTCCTCCTGCACGGACGTACAGTGGTTGCTTGAAATAAACACTGAATGCTAACGCATGATATTCATTGACCGCCCCCCCCTCCCCTCACCCCACCCATTTTCACCACAGTTGTACTTGTGCTGAAACCCCGCCCCACTCAACTGCCAATCACAACGCGCAACGACTCGATGAGAAAAGCGCAAAGCGCAGCCCGATTTGGACCGGCGGGTGCCGGGAGCAATTGTGGGCGCGAGACGGCCAACGAAGCGGCGGCGCCTCGGAGCGCCGGGAGCGTTTTTGGTCAAGAGCGTGAGAAGGGACACCGGAGCGGTCCGGCGGTCGGTTTCGCGCTGGCTTATCTGCGCGCGTGTCGGGGCGGGTGACTTGACGCGCCGGGCGGAGTAACTGCTCGCCAAGATAAGAGCCGTGTCAGCAAACGGCTCAGTCTTAGCTGGAGGAGCTTCGAAATGACCGATTTGCATTCAGTGTGAGTCGTGCGAGCGGGAAGGAGACAGAAACTGCTCACTGGGAATGACAATCTCTCTCTTTTGTTGTTGTTGCGGCTTTTCTCTTGATATAGTGGCGGGATGGACCATGGCGGCGGTCCAAAGAAAAGTCAAAAGAAGCAGAGGAAGCAAGACCAATGGAGAGGAGAGCGACCCCGAGACATTTTTGAAAAGGTCTGGTCCGCGCGCGACTCTTTCGGTGAGCGTACTCGAAGGCTTCCACTGACCGCATTTGCCCGTCCTCTACCTCAGCTGGATTCGTTGCCCGAAAGCAAGCAGCAGGAGATCCAAAGGGCCCTCCACCTTTTCTCTTTCGGACAGACTATGCCGAGGACGCTGCAGCAGGCCGCGCGGCGCGCCTACGAGTTCTGGCACACGCAGCCCGTTCCCAAACTTGGTACGGTATTTATTTCTTGTAAACAAGCAGCCCGCCATTTGTTGTTGAGCTTTTTGAATTGCATTGCAATCATCCTACTCTGAATCCATACCAAGCGAGCTAATCCATTATCAAATGAATCGAGGATTATTTTCATCGTCGATTCATTTCATTCTTATTTTGATTTATTTCGCTGCGCTGTCAAGTTGAAACCATGTCCTCTTTTGGAACGCGTGGATGGAAAATCAAACTTTTTTCAAATGCGGTGCATCCGTTCATCCACAAATTCCACGATTATTTTACAAAATTGACTGCTGACGCGTTATTTGCAGTCGTCGCCTATTTTGATTCTTTGTCATTTACATTGCATGACGTTCCAATCCTCAACCTTTCTTTATGACCACGACATTTTGAAAGCGGAACTCCGATCGAATTTTGTCCACTGTTTCCGTTTTGTGATGCATCAAAACTGTTGTTGATTTTCGCCCCTTTTCAACGGCTTGCTCGCGGTCTTTCTTTGAAATTGCGCAAGCAGGCGAAACGGCGATGGGCCGCGGCCAAATAACGGCGGGCGAAGCGAGCGCACGGGAGGAGCCTTACTCGCTGCCTCGGGGCTTCTCGTGGGACACTTTGGAGCTGAGCCGCCCTTCGGTGGTATGCCGCCCGTCGGTCTTAGTCACGCTTGGCAAAAGTGGGGAAAGGTTCCCTCCTCAAGTGGGCTTTGCTTCCACTGCGAGCTACGGCGAGGTTAAAGGCAAATCGCTTTTGCCCCCCCCCCCCAATCTTTTCAGATGCAAGAACTTCGCACGCTACTCAATGAGAACTACACGGAAGACGACGACAACACTGTCGCGCCCGACTTGTCGGTGGACTATCTACAATGGTACCGCCAGAGCCCGCTGTCGCCTTTCACTCTATTTTTTGGGGAGGTTCTATTTGAAAATTTGTCAGAGCGGGTCCCGCTGGCAGAACGTCCATGCGGCTTGACATTCACAGCGTCGGGCAACACAAGCAGCGACGTTCCACTTGCTGCATCCAGTATTTCATTGCGTCTCGTCGTGAGCTTGAGTGTCTCCACTCAAGCTCAACCTCAGCCGAGCGCGGCGGCCACCGCCGCCGCCGCTCTTCTCCTTTTCTACCCCTTCTATCAGCTACATCAATGCTATCGATACCTTCAGAGACTATTTACATGCAAAACCTGACGTGGCTCACGATGCATAATGAACACCCCCCCCCCCCCCCCCCCCGACCCCAGTCCGGCGGA